AGAAAAGATGATGAAGGAAAAGGAGGAGAAAGGATGGGGAGAAACGATGATGATAAAGGATGAGGAAGAGGCGGAGAAATAATGGAAATGAGGAAGATGGGGACAAATGATGGTGATGATGAGGAGGAAGAGAGGGAGAAAAGATGATAATGATGATGACAAAAAGGGGGGTGGAGGGTGAAGGTGAAGAAGGAAGAGGAGGAGGAAGAACGTAAATAAGGAGGTAAGCTGAATAAACGAAAGGTATAAAAGAAAGTAGAGTCGGAAAAGGAGATTCAGGGAAGAAAAGAAGAAAGAAAATGTAAACAGCCTAGAAGAAAACAATACATAGGAGGGAAAGAAAAAAAAGAATTTATACAATCTCTTTCACAATTTTTTTTCTATCTCGATAATATTGGTTCTGATGATCTTTATTCACCTTCTCCTTCCTCATTTTTCTTTTTTCTTTTTTTTCTGGCATTCTTTTGTCTTTTTTTCCTCTCCTGAAACAGGTTTTACTTCCGAAGAACGAACTAGTTTTTATAGCGGAGCCCTTGGCTGATGGACAGCACCGCGGCTCAACCACATGCTTGGGAGTGAGGCAGGCGGAGGAGGAGGAGGAGGAGGAGGAGAAGAAGAAGAAGAAGAAGAAGAAGAAGAAGAAGAAGAAGAAGAAGAAGAAGAAGAAGAAGAAGAAGAAGAAGAAAAGATTAGGAGAAGGGAAGGAGGAGGAGAAAGATGAGAAGGAGGAGGTGGAGGAGAAGAAGGAGAAAGATGAGGAGGAGGAAGAGGAGGGGAAGGAGGAGGAGGAGAAGAAGAAGAAAAAGAAAAAGGGACGAAGAAAAAATAGACGGAAGAGGAGAATAAAAGCAAAAGGAAGAAGAAGAAAGAGGAGAAAAAGGAAAAGAGACGGAGAAGTAAAAGAAGAGGAGAAAGGAGAAGAAGGGGAAACCGAACTGAAAAAGAAATTTTGCACTGATAAAACAAGCAATTTAAAAATAGAGAAGGCTTTAATATGTAGGAAAGTAATTATTGAGAAAAGAAAGAACCGCCGAGAAATAATAGATAAATTATTCTTATAACAATATTAATAATAGTAATGATAATAATAATAATGATGATAATGATAACAATGACACTAATAATGATAATGATAACATTAACAATGATAATAATGAAAATAATAGGTATATAGATAGAGAAACGCAAGAGAATCTAAAACTAAGGAAAAGGAGGAGTAATGATAAAAAGAGGAGATGAAGAGAACTCACAGAGAAAAGATACAAACGACCAAGAAGCAGGATAAAGGTGTGACTAATCTCCAATTCATTCCCCGAAAAGTTGTTCATTCTTATCTCCGCCTCGAATGACCCCTCGAGGCTGATTCGAGGCCAAGTGTTAAGGTGGAGCTTGAGAAAATTTGAGGCGTTTGCGGGATCGTTCGTCTTTTCTTCTTCTTCTCTTCTCATTCTTTTTCCTCTCTTCTTTTTTTTCTCTCATTTTCACTCTGTCTCTCTTTCTCTTTCACTCTCTCTCTCTCTTCTCTCTTCTCTCTCTCTCTCTCTCTCTCTCTCTCTCTCTCTCTCTCTCTCTCTCTCTCTCTCTTCTCTCTCTCTCTCTCTCTCCTCTCTCTCTCTCTCTCTCTCTCTCTCTTTCTCGGTATTGACAGATAGATACAATCGTTTACCGTAAGTGTGAGTGAGAAACAACATTCAGCAAGTTAAACGACTGAAATGAGAAACAGACAAAACTAAAGAGCCAACAGGCAGACAGACAGAAAACCGAAGAGCTAAACAGACAGACAGAGAACACGAGAGCCAGACAAACAGACAGAGAACGCGAGAGCCAGACAGAACAGAACAGACAGAGAACACAAGAGCCAGACAGACAGATAGAGAACACGAGAGCCAGGCAGACAGACACAGAGAACACGAGAGCCAGATAGACAGATAGAGAACAGAGAGAGACAGACAGACAGACAGGACAGACAGACAGACAGAACAAGAGAACGAGAGCCACACAGACACGAGAACACAGAGCCAGCCAGACAGACAGAGAGGCCCCAGAACGAGCCAACCAGACAGGCAGGAATATCAGAGCCCAAAGAATGCTCCCGGTGGCCGCCCCCAGCCACGTATATTAATTCGCGAAGGCAGCGCTCCTCCCGAGTTTACAATTGCGTGCATTATTATTGCTCTTCCCAGAAGGTCGGAAGAGAGCGGCGAGAGTGGCTTGGTGGGGCGGAACCGTTAGGCTCTCTCACTCGCTCTTAGTCGCTCTCATTCGCTCCTGATCACTCTCACTATCTGTTGGTCGTTTTTTATTCGTTCTCACTCGCTCTTAGTCGCTCTCATTCGCTCTTGATCACTCTTACTATCTGTTAGTCGTTTTTTATTCGTTCTCACTCGGTCTTAGCCGTTCTCGGTCGTTCGTACTCGCTCTTAGTTGCTCTCACTTGCTCTTAATCACTCTTATTGTCTGTTAGTCGTTCTTATTTTCTTCTCAATTCGCTCTCAGTCGTTCTCAGTCGTTCGTAGTCACTCTCGCTCGCTCTTAGTCTTTCTAAGTCGCTCTCACTCGCTTTTAGTCTATCTCAGCTTATGATTATTATGTGGGAGGATCTGAGGTTGATGTTTTTGTCTCTCTCTTTTCTGTTTTCTCTTTCACTCCCCCCCATCGCAACTATTTTTAACTTTTTCTCCTCGCATTTCTCATCTCATCATCGTCTGCTTCTCTCCTCTTTTTTCCTCCATCTCTCCTACTCTTCCCATCCTTCAACCTCCTCCTCCTCCTCCTTCCTCCTCCTTCCACCTCCACCTCCTACTCTCCTTCTCCTCCTCCCTCTCCTCCTCCTACTTGGAACGGTTCAATTTTCAATCTGCCAAGGAAAATAATTCTGATTTTTCCCCTCTCAGGATACGAAATTGTGCGATTATAAAAGGTTTTCCAAAAAACCGGGAAACGAAAAAAAAAAAAGGGAAAAGATAAAAATAATAAAACGGACAGAGTGAGAGAACAAAACGAGCGGCTCCTTATCTCGAAATGTCTTGAGATTGATATCTGAGATCCTTCATTAAGGATTCCCGGGCTTAGGCCTACCTTTTTCGCTACGACGTTGATCGACAGGACCTTTTTTTTCCTTTTTTCCTTTTTTTCTTCTTCGTTTGGGGATTTCTGGGACTGGATTTTGTAGAAGGGGGGAAGGGGTGGGAGGGAGTGGGAGAAAGGAGGAGGGAGGGAGGGGGAGAGAGGAGGTGGGGGACGGAGGGGGAGAATTGAGGAGAGGGAGGGAGGAAATGGAGGAGGGGAGAGAGGGATGGGGAGAAAGAAAATTGCGGAGGAGGGCGAAGGATGACTGTGTGAAAGCCGGAGGTAGAGTGGATAAGGGGTTGATACGAAGGGGGGGGGAGGAGTGAAGGAGGTGGGGGGGGGGGTCTAGGAGTCTTGTACGGTTCTCGTATTTCAGATAAAGACAGACAAGTTTCGCGTGTGGGTCGTTGTCGGTTCGCGTGGTTCTGAGGACTTAGATTTTTCTTCTCTCTCTCTTTTCTTCTTTTTTCTCTCCCTATCCACTCTTTTCTCTCTCTCTCTCTCTATTTATATATATATCTTTCTCTCTTACTCTCTGTATCTTTTTCTCTGTTACTCTTATTCTCTCTCACTTTCATTGTCCATTTTTCTTTTTTCCGAACGAACAGGAAAAAATAAACAAAGTGGAACACCCAATGGCACTCGAACTTGCAATAGAAAAAATAAAGTTTTAAAAAGTTCACATTAAGTTCCTTCAGGGAAATTGATGGCTGTTTTATAGGGTCTTTGGCGAAGAATCCGGTGCTGGTGTTTCAATTTTTTTTTTTTTTTTCCTTTTTTGTATAAGTTTGTTGCGATGACGTTTATTGTTCTTATTATCATGTTGGGTCATCTTTATCGATTCAGGTTTCGTTGTGAGTGATTTTTTTTTTTTTGGTATATAAACTTGTGCGGGGAAGATGACTTTATTTAGCTTTTTTTTTTCTCTCTCTTTCTTTTTCATTTTTTTTTTGTCGATTTTTGTCTCGTTATCTCGTTTTCTGTTTCTGTCTGTCTTTATCTTGCCTTGTTTCTCTCTCTCTCTCTCTCTCTCTCTCTCTCTCTCTCTCTCTCTCTCTCTCTCTTCTCTCTCTCTCTTCTCTCTCTCTCTCTCTCTCTCTCCCTCTTCTCCCCCACCTCTCTCCCTCCCCCTCTCCTCCTCCCTTTGCTCCTTCCTCCTTCCTTCCATCTCTCCCTCCCTCATTTCTCCTCCCTCTCACATTATCTATCACCCCCTCCATTCTCTTCTCTCTCTTTCTTTATCTTAATTAAGGCATAATATTTAATTATTGTTTTTAATGCTTAAAGCTAATGACCTTTGTTTTTTGTTGACAGGTAAGAGTAACAACAGGGAGCCAAACTAGCTGTTAAAGGTAATTAGAGTGATGCAAATTTATGTACGACGGGCACCTGGGAGAGGAGAGAGAGAGAGGGAGAGAGAGAGAGAGAGAGAGAGAGAGAGAGAGAGAGAGAGAGAGAGAGAGAGAGAGAGAGAGAGAGAGAGAGAGAGAGAGAGAGAGAGAGAGAGAGAGAGAGAACAGAGAGGAGAGAGAGAGAGATGAGAGAGAGAAGAGAAGAGAGACAGACAGACAAACAGATAGAGACAGAGGCAAAAACAGACAGAGAAACGGAAACAGAGACAAAGAAACAGAATTTAAGTAAATAAAGAAAGAGAAAGAAAGAATTAGATAAGAGAGATGGAGAAGAGAGAAAAGGACCTATCTCACACATCTCCAATCCCATCCCCCTTGCAGCCCGTTGCAGCCCCCATCCCACCCCCCGTTGCAGCCCCCATCCCACCCCCCGTTGCAGCCCCCACCACCCCCCCAGCCCCCTTGCAGCCCCACCCACCCCCCTCGTTTCACCCCCCGCATCCACCCCCGTTGCAACCCTGCATCGCATTCAATTATCAGCCAGTGCCGACTCCAGCTCGGGGCATTGTGTGTACCTACCTGTAACATACACACGGGGCGTCACGCGCTGCAATAACACGCTGCAGAACACATGAACAGCAAGATATTGCAGCCCCAGGAGCCAATAAGGCCTTGTGGAGCGCTGAAGAACGGCGCTACTTAGCCGGGGGAATGGTCGGTGCTCTTAAGAACAAATTTGCTTATTGATTGCGCTCCAGAAATTTGCTGGGGGTACGCCGTTCGCCTGTTCTGTTAGTGGGTGTGGGTGTGTGTGTGTCTTTATTCTTCGGTTTTTATTTCTCTCTTTCTTTATTATGCTGTGTTTTGTTGGTTTTTTTTTTCCGGTGTAATTTTGGTTGGTTTATCTTCCCGTTTTTTTGTTTTCTGTTGTGTCCTATCTTTCCCTTTCTCTTTCTTTCTCTCTTCTCTTCTCTCTCGGTCTTCTTTTCTCGTTCTTTCTCCCTCTCTCTCTCATCCTCCACTGCTCTCGTCTCTCCCTCTTTTCCCCTCACCCTGTCATCTTTTATCTCATCTCTCTCTTTCTCCCCTTTCCGACCTCCTCCCCTCCCATTCCTCCCCACCCACCCCTATTCTCCCCTCGTGTCCTCGCCTTGCCTTACCTCTCCTCTCCTCTCTCTTCTCTCCTCTGCTCTCTTTTTGCACCGCTCGTCTCAAGATGGGCTCCCGATATCGAAGACTCACGAGGAGTAACCACATTCTCTCTTTATCTCTCTCTCTCTCTCTTTCTCTCTGAGGAGGAGGAGGAGGAAAAGGCGGGGAGTCGTTTGCTTCATTTTCTGTGTACCTATTTTTTATTTTTATTTTTCTTGGTCTTTCTCATTCTTTCTTTTTTCTCTATATATCTCTCTTTTCTCTCTTCATCTCACTCACTCACGCTCTTTCTCTCACTCACTCACGCTCTTTCTCTCACTCACTCACTCTCTCTGCAGTGTTTTTTTTTTCTTATTTGTTCTTTTTTTCTTTTTTTTTTCTGTTTTAGCGAGAGTCGTCCTGACTGTCATCTGTCATCATCTTCCTCGTCGTCAGTGAATTCCTCCAACTCTGTCAACGTCATCAACACCATAATTGTCATCAACATCGTTATAATCATCATCTTTCTCCATCACGTTATGTTCCATCTTCACATTCTCCGTCATCATCACCGTCATTTTGATCTCCAACAT